GCTAAAAATTGTTCACTTATACAAAAATGCACAAACATATGTTTAAACATTAAATTGTAAAAAAAACGACAAACGAACACTGCCTTTGCTTTCTTAATTGCTCGGTCCAGTTTTGTGAACTACATATCGAGAAATGTCGTTACATTATTTATATCTTAACATCAACTTTATAGATAGATGTGCACTCACACAGGACTTTGACATTTAATTTAATTACGAATAAAATTAAGAAAAACTTGCATGACGTATACTCTCCAGTGATTAAAAAATTACGTGATCCAACTTGATAGAAATAATGGCAACAGAATGATGCCTTGTGGCGTTCAAGTATAAATTATCATGATTCATTCATCCATCCCTTAAATACATTTCAGTTTAATGCAATTATGATATATAATAATCAACTCGACAAAACTACCTAAAATCAAGTGACTGACAATATTAAAAAACAATTATCTAATTACCAAAACAAATATTAAATACTCACCTGTACAATCAAACGAAAACCAGACGCAGAAATAATACAAATATTGAACAAAAATAAGGAAACACAATTGCTATTGAAATTGTTACACCAAGTTAACTTGACAGTTCCTTGCACCATAATAGACAAAAGAACAGACTACACACTGACATCACGTGGTCCTCAGAAGCTGACAAGGTGCTCATGACGTGATCTGCAGATCTAAGATCTTATTCGATGCGTTCTATCAAAGCAGTTTCGACGTTTATTAAAGTTTAGTTGAGATTCTTAAAGAATTGTGATTACTTAATATAAACTTAACTTCAGAAGCTGCAAATTAAAATTATATGGTATGAGTGATTCATATATAAAGCAAGCATAACTTTCAGATATGGCAGATATGATGAAAGGCTATCTGTGCCCAGCTTCGACATGTTGAAATTATTAACAACTTATACTGATACAATTTCATTAAGTCAAAGAAAACTCCATAAATACAAACCGAACTTTTATAATGATAGAAATTTGCATCCATAATCATACCAGTATTTCATTCACCTGCCACGGTCTTGGGAGCAAACAGTAACATCTATTATTTATATTACATTTACCAAAACCATCTCATATTTATGATATATCGACCCAAACTTTCTAGTGCGGTAATTAATATCCCCATCCTGAATTTGTATAAAAACGTTTAAAAGCAATCGCTTTAGCTTTAATACGAAAAATTTAAAAAAATTTTGGTATACGCCTGGTAGATAAATACCTGATTTTCGAAGTTGTTCTAATAACCTCATGGAGGATTTCCGTTTTAGTTGTTAAGACTCCACCGACAATTTAAGCTTTTAATTATTGATGACAACATCGGCAGTAAGTCTGCTGGAACTGGTTGTTTTAGGTAGCTGCATCTCTAGCGGTGGCAAAATGCATAATTCGCGCAATAAACACATGTACAATTTTAAAACTTAAGTCAAAAATTAGCCTGTAAATTTTGCGGTGACGCGACTTTTCCGTTTTTCAGTATTTCCTTTCTTGTCTGTAGTGTTGTTTGCTCGTCGTGTTGTGCTTCGGCGAATGCCTGATAGGGCCCCGCGTTTCAATCAAAAAATATTTTTATTGCTTTTCACAATTGCTAAATCATGCATAGCTAAAAAAAGCGATGTAGAAAATAACCAGCACAGAGAATGCATGTGTAACAGGTAACAAACCATTCCATTCACCAATGTTCAGCAACACATCTTCAGTATAGAAGGTCTCCACACAAGACTGTATTAAATGTTCAAGTTTTCTAGCCATCATAGGATTTAATTATGTTTTACAATGTAGCATAGCTTAAAACCATTTGAAGATTTCAAGATTTTTTAGATCTTCACACCACTGATCAGTCAAAACGCGTCAAATAGGATATAGCATACTGCTGTCGAAATTTGTTATCTAGCCAATTTAATTCTACATTTAACAAAACGATAACAATATACCAAGTTTAATCAAAGCGTCTGTTTACTTTTTCAATTAGATAATTCATATTGTCATTCACAGCACCTGCCAAAGCACCATTCAAAAACAATTATATTTATTGGAAAGAAAACCATAAAACAAACGTCACTCTTGTGTAAACACAAAATGAATGTTTAGAATAGCTAATCTCAAGTTTATCAATTGTTCTCGGCACAATTTCACTAATTCGAAGAATGGAAATGGCCTAAACGGCGCATTGATTTCACAAAAAATGCTTGTCATTGTTTTTCTGTTATGCGGTACTTGAAACACGTGAACCAAGAACATCGTGAAACGAACTCATGCGATCCGACCTATAAAAATACAAATAAATTCTGCAACTCATGAATAAATAAAATTCTTTTCAGACACATACCTCCACCTAGCTTTGAAAATATCGTCAGGATAACCACAAAGAAAGAAAGATCTTTGATATTCTGTTCAATTGATTTTTAATAAACCCTACTAAATTCAAATTTTATCCATTTTATATGAAGTATTTTTAATAGTTCCATCACGTCAATCAATGCATTTCATGACATATACCATACGCACCAAGCACGATATATAAAATACATACATATTGTTGAGTTTAAATAACAAACATAAATAGATATATAAGTATGTAGACATATCAACACATGATATTCGAATATAAGCATTTATGCTAGGCATACTCTCGTACTTTTTAACGGGTGCCTGGGCGCACCAACTCCCCAACGTTTAAGTTAAATCAAATAGTTAACTTACATGTCGAGTCCCGTCTCTATGGCTTCTTTAGGTTACACCTGAGCTCTTTTTCTTATTCATCACATCACAATCAACATGACCTACGAAAAGAATGTCTTTGTTGTAGTTGAAATAAATTAAATATTAAATAGTTTTGACATTACTTCAAACTGACTAAAAATTTACTTGAAATACTAATTGGTTTCAACACTCAGGCATAAATTGCCAGACTTCACGCTTATTTTTCATTCAAAATTGTTTTCTGATTTTTCCGTAGCCTTTAAAAATACAAATTTGACGGGAACCAAAAAAATTAGCTGTCGAACTTTATCAGACCAATTCGTGGTTCCCGTTTAGAAAACCTAATTTCGCTGATTTTAAATAAAAACTCCGCTCGCCAGGCAGGTGAATGAAAAGGACAGGCAGGTGGATGGAGAGGACAGATGGGCGGTTGTATAATTAAAACTCCAGCAACAAAAAGAGGCGAGTGTGGGTTTGTGGCACAAAGGCCCAGGCAGGTCAACAAAGTGCGGAGCCAAGCGTGAGGGAACAGAAGGTCGTCACCAGACCCAACAATGAAGTTGCAGAGGATTTCATCACCCTTGAGATGGTTGAATCGGATATGCAGGCGCTACTCCAAGAATTTGGGGATATACCTAATTTAGAATTTGAATTTTTGTAATTTATTTAGACCGAGTATTACTATTACCCTTCATAAAAGTTTATAAAATTTAAAATGGCGTCTGTTTTATATTTACCAACAAAGATAGTTTAGTAAGACGCGTATATAAACGTCATGAGTAGTGATGTACTGACCAAGGAACGGGTACCGGAACCGAGGTACCAAAACGGTACTTTTTGCATAAAAATTAACGCTAATTAATCTCAGGTAGCATATTATCTTTGTAATTGCAACCATCTTACGCTATTTCATTTTCCTCTTCCATTTTGTTTTTGTGCTCGTTCGCCGACGGTTAGTGATATTTGGCTTATTTTTTAAAAATGATCAGAAACACGAAATAATTGATAATGTTTAATGTTTAATAATTTGACAGGTTGTTTTAATTTTTGTTCTGCTATATCGTTTTAACATTTGAATTGTTTGACCACATTCTATTTTGATTTTTAATTTCTTTATTGACTCAACTGCAACTCTTATTCAAAATCTGTCAAATCAAATTGATTGTCAAAATCTGATTTATAATTCCGGTAGAAAAAAAGAAGTTAGTATTGTTATAACCGTGCTACCGAACGCACTAGAACATTCTAGAATAGGCTAGAATCGGACCATCTAGAAGAATCTAAAACGACGCTTGCGACGATATAAGCCCTAGTATAAGCGCACGTCGCAAGAAGATTAGCGATTAGTTAAACACGTGATTTTGTAAATTCGTGACTGTGATTTTGTGAATAGCGATTCGGTGAATTAATTAGCGATATTTGATTTGTTTGTTGACGTTGTCATAGCGATAGATTTTGAACAATTTAAAAGTTAATTGTTGCGTTAGTTTGAATTTGCTGGAAATAAACGATTAGTTGATTTCTTCTGTAAATAAAGTTTAATAACTAATAACTGTTTGGAGTATTTTATTCAATCGAAGATTCGAACCCGTCGCATCGTAAATCGGTTACGACAGCGAGTACTATAACAGTATTTTAATTTATCAAAACGTTTATCTTTATCTCTATATCACACATAACATAAAAGAAAACTTATGAAAAAATAAGTAGATATATGGATGGCTTACACTGATTCAAAATTCATTGCTCCAAAATCTCGAACAATGGTAGTTCGCATGATGGAGCCATTTCATAAAAAGATTTAAGAACGTCTAGCTACAATGTTACCTTGATTTTTTGCCATCAAACAGGGAAAAGATTTGCTATTAAGTAGAAAAAAAGGTCGCCCCTTAGCTCATTCAACTGACACACTGCATCAAGAAAAATTACGAAAAGGGCCTACTGCGCCTATTCCATCTACCGCCATTAGAACTGATGGTATTAGCCAGAGTATTCAAATAAAAAAGACCGATGTCGAAGACGACGAAAAGCAACGAAAGTGAAATGTATGAAACGTGACTTACATTTGTTTTGTAACTAAACTGTTATTTCATCTGTAATTAAATAAATTAAGTGCAACATGATTTTATTTGAATTTGTGCTATATAGGGTTAATGCCTCCGATGATAATACAGTGCATCAAAAAAAGTAGCAGACAAACAGATATGGTGTTGTACAAACCATACAGTCTAGCAGCAGAACAAAATCTATTAGAAATGTTAGTTTTTATGAAAAATGTAGGGTACCAATGAGCACATGTATCATGGTTAGTATTTTTTATTCTTAATTTGAATTATATTTTATAAATATTAAATTTTAGAATAATAATTTCATTCATTCAGTTGACATATTATTGGAACATGGGGGACATCAGTCAGGCAGCGACAGCTCCGTTGCTACAAATAGATAAGAATAACACTTTGCTTGACTGGTTCAACCTTCATCACCAACTCTGTACCGATTGGGTACGAGACGACTCAAAAATAATTGGTGGACCTGGTCGAGTGTGGCACGCTAAGCAACCCCAGCCCACCAAATCGCACCGGCAGCTGAGCCTGGGATCAACCACTGTCGGTCACTTGAACATTGCAAATCGACGACAGGTTGGTGCGCAGGGCTCCGTCAAATTATCTCAGTCAGTCTACAAGCAAACAGACAAGGCTCCAAAGAAGTCTGATTTAAAGGAGAGCTGAATTGGAAAGGAATAAAAAGTTATTATGGAGATGACGTCATTATTGGGCGCCCAGGAAAAAATTATCCAAAATACCCAGCTCACGAGGTAATATCTGTTGAACGAGGCGTTTTGAGGCATAAATGTCCCATTAATAGACTTGGCAAAACTATTGATCCATATGATATCTGCCAATGATCTGTACGATATCCCAGATATAAAAGGGAAAGAACCAAAGAAAATAGATTCCTTGAAAAGAAATTCAGAGCAATAAAAGCAGCAGTAGGAAGTCTCTACACTGAGGCTGTAGGATGGTGAGATATATTGTACACCAAGAAAGTGAAGTTTGTGAACCAGAAAGTATCTAGTGCTTTATGGAACAGAATATGAGCCAAAGGTTCGAATTGCCCTTTTTCAGTAAGGACAAAATTTGGAAAACAGACTAATATTGCCGCATTATTCAAGAAGACAACTAAACTGTACGGGAAATTAGCATGACAGTATCATACCTGGAATGTGTACCTTAGACATGATCACTGAACTTCCTAGCAAAATTACTAAGGTGTTTGGATTAAATAAGAAACTGTGCCTACATCAGACAAGTTTTCTAGACCAAAATTGGGATTCCTGCAAAATGGGAAACCTATTGCAGTTAGCCGTAGTTTACCCATCCTGTGGTTTACTGATGCTATGAAAGGTAGCCCATCCTATGTGAATGGAGGCTCAGCAGGAGAGATTTACTTCTCATCTATGGGGGGAGTCTGGGAAAAACACGATAAAGTAGTAGAAGGACTAACTAGTCAGTCTCTTACGGAGATCTGTCACTTTTTCAGTGCAGAAGAAAAAGCGAATGAGGCTGCTGACTTTGAGGGGAAAGTTTGTAAATCTCATATTTGGGACGAGCAGCAAAACTTTGTAACCATTTTCCCTGATGCAGATACTCAAATGAATTGGAGCAAAGCCGAAGCCTTTAGAATAGCTTATGCTCAGCCTAGAATCATGATTTCTGCAAACACTAGTATTCATAACAAATAATTGATTTGCTGCATTGCAATTTGGAAGTAACATTCCTGTATTAATCATTCTGAATTCTTTTAATTTATCATTATATAATTTTATTGCGAACATACATTTTCACTTTTGTGAACATTGGGTGCTTTAATATCGGGTGGGTGAGTGACGATGTGATGATGTGACGATGTGATGATTTGACGATGTTGTGATGTGACCAAGCTCCCTTCCTTATAATGAGGCCTTAAAAATTTTAAGATTGCATGTGTAAGAACCTATGTATGTATGTATGTATGTATGTATGTATGTATGTATGTATGTATGTATGTATGTATGTATGTATGTATGTATGTATGTATGTATGTATGTATGTATGTATGTATGTATGTATGTATGTATGTATGTATGTATGTATGTATGTATGTATGTATGTATGTATGTATGTATGTATGTATGTATGTAAATATAATCACAAACTTTGGATTGAAACATTAAAAATAGCTGCCTCATTACAAAATCTAATAACTGTTAATATTTTTGAAGAGCAGCTATAAATAGTACCCATTGAGTTTCTTTGATTTTTGCAATTGTATATCATTATCTATCAATATAGATCAGACACTGAATTCGTCCGGGGTATCATTCAAATAAATTTATACATAAAACTGTACTAGATCACGTAGAAAAATTCGTGATAAATTAACAAATTATGTTGCATCAATTTGGCACGGACTTTCTGCAGAAAATTTTTCAAAATCCATCAAAACAAGATGAAGATTATATTATGTTTTGATGGATTTTGAAAAGGCTAGTCAGAATGCAATAAGCACAGTATTTCCATGGCTGCTCCAATGGATGATGCAGTAGCTGATGTACCAGCTGCAAACGCCAACACTAAGAAACTGCTTGTCAAAGACAGGGAGTTTATAAGTGAGTGATTAATTCAAACTTGAATGAATGGTTACTTCTAAACTCATTCTTCATTTTAACTATAAATAATCTATTTTGTTACAGATGTTACCAATTCTTGGATGGATAAATGGAGAGGCATCACTGATATCAAAACGCAAATTGCGTATTTGCTCCTAAAAAGCATAGCTGCAGGGGCATATATTGCCAACCAATGTTCCTGTTTTGAAACTGGCCAGTGTTTACTGGAAAGTGTTTGTCAGGCAGTGCTTTAACTTCGATGGAATGGGACAGAGATAATTTGTAATGCTTATAAACAATCTTTGGAAATGTGCCAAAGATAAATTTAAAGGGATGCATGGCACCTGCGATGCTCACATCTCATCGTATCTGAATGTGGCAGCATGGTGCTAGAGACCGTGAGGGGGTTCCAAAGAGCTCTTGAGCTCATCCATACATATTATGTTGTAAGAATTATTCTTTTTTTTGTTCAACGTTTTTCATTCATACTTTTTAATTTTAAATTTTTTTTAAATTTTTACTTCATAATCGGCGGATAGATCTATTTAGTTTTATGTTGTATGAATTTATTCTTTTCTTTGTTGAACGTTTTTCATTCATGTTTTTCAATTTTAAAGTCATTAACATTTAAAAATTAAAATTCTACAAAAAATCGCTTATTTTTTTAAATTTTTACTTCATAACCGGCGGGTAGATCTATTTAGTTTTAGAAATTGAACTATAACACTTCTCAACGGGTACAAAGCATAAAATTCAGGTTATATTTTGATTTGAAATCGTTTAAGGGTAGATTGCATTGTCAAGCGTTTTACATTTTATTTAGTTTTTTTTAAATTCAATAACATTTTAAAAATAATTACTCAAAAAACAGTTTTCCTTTTTTTAGTATTTTCAGCTGTTTATATTATGCTGCCGTTACCCATGCTTATGAGTCTCTTTTTAAACTGCTGACTAAATAATCATTTCTGGAAAAACCACTTTGCAGTCTCCGAGATTACCCGTTTTAATATTCATTAAAAATTGTGGGTTTTTAAATTTTATTACAAGTATTTGGCCTTTGGTTTCGGCCGACGGCGGAATTCGGTCGTTCGGTCTTTGGCTCCGATAAGCACCGAAGGACGATCTAACATTGCGATTCAGCTTAGTTTATTTTATTTAAAACCCTGAAAATTTACTACGAACGACGATAAATTAAAAAAAATGTATGGTAAATTAAAATCGAAATTTGATAAAATCTACCTTTGTCCTTCATACAGGAGCTTCCAAACCACATCTTCCAGACTTCGTAAATTTGCGTAAAGTCGTATTGAACATGCTTTGAATACGTGGCTTATATAGGAACAAAACAAATGACGCAGTTGTATTCATGAGCCAAATAATATCTGAGCGAATGTATAATTAAAAACAGGAAGGTTTAGTTAAAACTTTTCTTGCAAATAAATGTTAAATGTATTTTATTCAACAAGAAAATGTTAAATAATTTATAAAAAAAACAAATAAATTCATAATTATATTTTATTTTTGAAAAGCACTATTTTATATGTAATAATATTTTACGTAAAAAGTATGTCTAAAAATAGATATTGCGCCTTACAATCGCTCTGATTGGTGGGCATTTAGCTTGCTTAGCAGCTGATGAATAATAATTAATTTAGCTGAAAAGTAGTTCTTTTCCGTTCGTTGTTCGCTAATAGTACGTCAACAAAACATCACAGTAATATGAAAATATGGATGAGTAATTATGAATATACGTAATAAACCAACAAACGTTGATGAATATAGGCATATATATATATATATATATATTTGTGTAAAGATGTATGTATAAAATATGAATATATCTTTTTAATTATATATTTACACATATATTTACTTACATAATGAATATATAGTAAACCAGGGGTGGGCAAACTACGGCCCGCGAAGTCATTTATTTATGCGACTCGCGAGGCCTTTTACACATTTTGGAAAAAAATAAGACAAAAATGAAATTGAAATTACTACAAAAAAGGTCGTCAGCCACAAATGAACATTTTAATAGATTCCTCCCCAAGGTCAACGGTCGAAAATATACATTGCGTCTTGTGAAAAATAAAATAGTTTTCAATGCGGCCCTCATTGCCCACCCCTATAATAGACTGATATAAGATTAAGTATATATATGTACGGTACGTAGCACGTTTATGCATTTATATATTTATTTATTTATTTGGCCAGATTTTGCATTTGGGTCCGATTTTGTTTTAAAATTGTCAACTAAATCTGAATGTATAAATATTTTTGTTTAGTTTTGTATCTAAGCATGCATGTATGCGTTTATACATTATACATTCATTGTTTATATGTAGTCATCTGTGTATGTTGTTATTTTATTAATCAACCATAGAACCAAACGTATTATAGGTATATATGCAAAATGACTCATAGCGAAAAAAATTACGTTTGTGTCGCTTGGATCGTCTTATTGATGTAACTATCTTAATTATATCTTAATTTCTTTTAAATTACCAGACGTTAACACCAAGCACTAATGTTCATATCATGTTTCAATGTATATATTACACGTTACTATTATGTTACACATGTTTCCATTACATATGTATGTAATATAATAGTTATATATATATATATATAATATACGTTGGTAATAGACTATAATTTTTACAATATTTTATAAATTCTACCGAATGTTTG